CAATAAGAAATAAAAGAGAGGAAATAAAAAACTAGTTGATAAGAGACAAAACAAGAATGACAAGAATTAATGAAAAAGAAATAAAAGATGATAATGGATTGATAAACAAAAAGATTAGAGAGAAAAGAAATAAAAGAACAAAAAAGAGGGGAATTGATAAGCAATGAAATAAATTCAAAGTTTTGATGATAATAAAAATAAGAAAGACATGAATGAAAGAGATTTATGATAAAGAAAAGATAAAAAGAAAGAAAAAGAGGAAGTTCAATTAAGAGAATCAAGGAGTAAAGGGTGTTTTAGTTAAAAGGACAAAAGAAAAGGAGGGATTAGAACCAAAACAAATAAGAACATAAAGACCATAAGAAGAGTAAATCCAAATTTTTTACCAATAGCAACATTAGTATTATTAAGTGATAATAACAAATGAATAATGATGAGAAAGAATAAACTTCCAATAGAAAATTCTAATACATTTGGAGAAAAAGTAGAAGATATTGACATAACAGGTTTAATCAAGTAAATAAATACTAACCAAGGGAGTGATGATGAAACTAGTAACATAAATATTGATTGAGAATAACCTTGAATAATAGCTAAATTACCACAATTCATTCTTCCAGCATTCCAAGCATTAATAAAATGTCTCATACCATTTCCAAGGATAGAAATAATACTAACAGCAAGAACATCAGATGGTAAATTAAATATTTTTTGAAGTCTGATAGATAATAAAATTTCAATAAATCCAAAAATTGATAAATAAGATAAAGATAATATAATACTAATTAAAGAACTTCCTTTAAATAATTTGAAAGGAATAGTTATCTTAAATAATTTGATTATTGGATAAAAAATATTCCATACAAATCCATCAACTAATCTTTCAGTTATTTGATTTTCACATAAAAGGTCTTTACAAGTAATACCAATATCAAAAGAATTTGAAATAATCATTTTATTTAAAGATTCTACCCATTCCATTCTTCTTGAACTTCTAAAACCAAATTGTTTATGGTCAATAGTATAAATGTCAAATATTTTATTGTCTAAATTATCACAAATAATATAACTAATATCATCAATATTAATAGATATAAGTGGTGGTGAATGAGGTGATCTATCCTTTCGAATAACTAATTCATCAAAATATAAATCTGTCCAATGTTCTGACCATTGAGATGTTGAATAAGAAACATTACTATAATCAGGAGACTTAAATAATTGTAGTTCAGAATGTAATTTATTTGGAATACCATCATTTTCAGTAATATTTAAAGGTGTTGTATTATTAAGAAAACCTTTTGATATAACAATTTCTTTTGATAATTTATTTGTTAAATAAATTGCAAGAATATAAAATAAATAAACACCAAGTGATAACCAAAGTAGAATTTGTCCAATTTTTAAATCATCTTGTGAATTAAGAGACTTTGCAAAGATATAATAAAATAAAATACTAATTAATAAAATTAATGCTTCACGAATAAAACTAATTTTTGCTATTTCAATAAAATCATGAGATAATATTATTGATAACCCACTCATTATTACTACACTTTCAAATGAACTTCCTATAATAAGTGAACTTGATGTACTATAATATTTCATAAATATCAATCCAAGAATTCCAATACATAATTCAGGTAAACAACTTCCAGTTTGAATAATAAGAGGAGTGAAATAATTTGTTTTAAAGACATAATTACATATAATAGAATATTTATTAAAAATTGGAATAATATATCTGTCTACTAAATAATGTGTTCCTAATTATTTATTTGTTGTTTTCTTTTTTATTATAATTGAACAAACCATATCCACATTGAAAAATAATGTAGAAATATAGAATAAACCCTCCATACTTTTCAAAAACTGAAACAGGAACTTCATTAAAAAGATCAAGCCATGTTTGTGTAATACTTTGTGAAGTCATTAATCGTTTTATTAGTTTTCGTATTCTTTTTGTTCTTCCATTATTCAATAAAAATTAACTCTTTATTACAATATGATGAAAAAGCACCAACTCACCTCTTTAGATGATATTCCTGATTTTGATTTTGATGAAATGATTAACCAAACTGAGGAATGTAGTGATACTAAACAACCAAAATATGCTTCAAAAATTATTGAGAAAGTACAAAAAAGAAAAGACTTTTTAGAAAGAACAAGAAATAAACGAAATGAAAGAATTTTAAATGAAGAAGAAAAGAAAGGAATTTATTCAGGAAAATCACTTCGTTTTGAAAGTAAAAGTTATAAAGATTTTAAAGACTTAGAAAAAACTCCAACACAACAACCACTTGATATGAATGAGTTTTATAGAAATATTCTTCTAAAACAAAATACAACAATAAAAGATAATTTTACACCAGAATTACAAAGTAGTAAAACAACACAAGAAAAAAAAATTAAAAATGAAGAATATGAAAGAAAAAAAGAAATTTTTAAACAACAATATCAAACAGCTCTTAATGAACGAGAACAACAAGAAA